TTATGAATGTGAATGGAAAAAGTGGATAGATTATGTGCAGCACAAATATCAAACTAGGAAGTATCAAATAGCTTTTCATTGATAGTATTATATTATATTAAGATAGAAATATTTGAACTATGTGAAGATGAAAAATGATATGGGGGTTGGGGGGGCTCAAGGTTTTTATATAAAGGGGATAATGATGGGGTATATTCTATGGAAGTCCGGGGGGGAGGGGAGGGTTAGGGGGGGTTAGGGAGGGTGGGTTGGGGAGTTTGGGGTGGGTTAGGGGGGTGAAAATGGGGTGAAAATGTAATTGTAAAACTTTTACAATAAAAAAAAAAAAAAAAAACTTGGGAGATGAAATTGAACCCCAGACATGGAGCAACATTACTCATGTTCAGCCACTGTAAAGCTCAAGTACTTTTAAGCGTTTTAAACACTTTAAGGAACACTTAATGAGTAATCCAGGAGTGAAATGCTCCTGGTTCGGACCCGATCGCCTGATCCGGTAGCGATGGCGGGTGGTTGTTCGGAGAACTGGTAGCAAAAATCCCTGCCCCTCCCCCTGCCCAGCTGAGCCGCGTAATCATCAGAGGCTTTTTTTTTAATTTTTAAAAGCATTTTTTTCTACAACCTCTTCGGCCGAAAAAATGCTTTTAAAAGCCTTTGACGGCCCCAGCTGAGTTGCCTGATCGGCAGAGGCTTTTAAAAGCATTTTTTTTTTTACAACCTCTTCGGCCCAAGAGGTTGTAGAAAAAATGCTTTTAAAAGTAAAAAGAAAAAAAGTTGGCCACCCAGTCACATTACCCCACCACCACCAAGCCACGCCCACAGAACTGGTAGTAACAAATTTTACATTTCACCACTGGAGTAATCCTTAAAAAATAATCTACCTGGATGGGTGTGAGCAGTGGAGTACCACAAGGCTCCCGTTTTAGACCCAGCAGGATTCTCCAATATCTTCATAAATGACTCAGATGAAGGGGAACTCATCAAATTTGCAAGTGACATTAAGTTGGCAGGAAGAGCCAACATCCCAGAAGAAAAAGCTCAGGATGCAGAAAGATCTGGACACATTTGAACAATGGGCCCTATCCAACCACATGAAATTTAAGGTAGAGAACTGCAAGGTTTTACACCTAGGCAGGAAAAAGCCAAAGGGACAGGTAAAGGTTAGGTGAAATTTGGCCGTGAGAGGGACCTTGGAGTCCTAATGGACGATCCCTTCAACACGAGCCAGCTGTGTGCGGCAGCAGCCAAAACAGCCAAGACGATCCTGGGTTGCATAAAAAAGGGCATGGAATCAAAATCATGTGAAGTCTTAGTACCGCTTTGTAAATCCTCTGCACCTGGAGTACGGCATCCAGTTTTGGTCCCCACATTACAAAAAAAGAGGTTGAGACTTTGGAAAAAGTACAGAGAAGAGCAGCTAAAATGATTAAAGGCCTGGAGGCTAAAACACATGAAGGACGGTTGCAGGATTTGGGTATATCTAGTCTAAAGAAAAGAAGGACAAAGGGGGACATGATAGCAGCAATCCAGTATTTGAGGGGCTGTCTCAAAGATGAGGGGTGGGGGTGTCAATTTATTTTCCAAAGCACCAGAAGGCAGGACTAAGAAGCAATGGATGGAAACTCATCAAGGAGAGAAGCAACCTGGAATTAAGGAGAAATTTCCTAACAGTGAGGACAATTAACTGGTGGAACAGCTTGCCACCAGAAGTTGTGGGTGCTTCATCACTGGAGGTTGTTAAGACGAGACTGGACAGCCACTTCATCCTCCTCCAGCAGCTGGCTTCCCCTGCTGATCAAAAAGGGGAAAACGCTTTAGGGATTTGCTAAATGTCTGTGGAGATTCTCAGTCATCCAAGTCATGGTTGTCCGAAAGGTGTTTTTTTTCAAGAGGAAACTGGACTTTCTGGTTTTTCTTTGAAGACGTTTCACTCCACCTCCAAGAAGCTTCTTCAGCTCTGACTGGATGGTGGGGAATGGAAGGATTTATACTCCTTGCAGACAACCGATCATTTGCATCCTTTTTAGACAGTCGTTGAGGCCGCTTGGAGGTTTGTCTGTGTCCTCAGGGTCACCTGAGTTGTGCAAATGGGGGTGGAGCCTTCTTAGAACAGTTGAAAGGACTGTGTTGTAGACTGGAGATAGGAGATGTCGTATCCCTCCCCATTTGTTGTGAGAGGGCTATTCAATTTGGACGTACAGTATGTGACCTCTTTGACCCCTCTTTCAAATCAGTGGTCCTCTCTGTCCAAAATGTGGACTTTGCCATCTTCAAAAGAGCGGCCTTTGTCTTTCAAATGCGGACAGACTGCTGAATCTTGTCCTGATGGGTTTGTTCTCCTAGGTTGTGCCATGCGTTTGTGAAGTGGCTGTTTTGTTTCCCCAATGTACAGATTTGCACAGGGCTCACTGCATTGTACTGCATATACCCCGTTGCTCAGTTTGTGTCTAAGTGTTTTATCCTGGGGTGGACAACGTTCTGCTTTTGTGTATTCTTGGGTTTGAAGTGCGCACGTATGTAGTGTGGCTAAAGATCCTCCCAAGTTCTTCCGATATTCCTGCAACATATGGAATGACAACATTGCTTCGTTTATTGCCCTTTTCATTGTCTGTTATGGAGTTGCTCTGTAGGGTCTTTTTTGAGATTTGAGGAAGGCCCACTTGGGATAGCTTTGAGGGCTTCTGAGGGCTTCCTTGATGCATTTTCGTTCTTTTTTCTTCTTTACCATCTTTGCTGGTAGGCAGGCCTTCCGTTCAGTGGTGTTCATCAGAGAATCAGATGTGGTAGCCACACTTCCACTGAAGAGACAGGAAGGGGCTTAGCAGCCCAATAAATGGTGCTCAGCCTAAGAAAACCGGATACCTTGTTAAGATATTTAAAATGTATTAGCTGGAGCAGTGAAAGTTTGGACGAGGAGTAAGAACACACAGTTAATGCTAACTGGTTAAGGAGAGCTGGCCATTGCATGAGGGAATCTGAGCTGTAATTGGTTGCTGTGAGACTAAAAGCAAATACAATCCTTGATTGCATAAACAGAGGCATAGAATCAAAACTATGTGAAGTCTTAGGGTTGCTTTGTAAAGTCTTAGTAAGGCCACACCTGGAATTCTGCATCCAGTTTTGGTCTCCACATTACAAAAAAGATGTTGAGACTTTGGAAAAAAGTACAGAGAAGAGCAACTAAGATGATTAAAGGCCTGGAGACTAAAATACATGAAGGACGGTCGCAGGAATTGGCTTTGGCCAGTCTAGAGAAAATAAGGACTGGCAGGACATGATAGCAGGATTCCAGTATTTGAGGGGCTGCCACAAAGAAGAGGGGATCAACTTATTCTCCAAAGCACCTGAAGGCAGGAGGAGAAGCAATGGATGGAAAATAATCAAGGAGAGAAAATCAGGGGACCCCACCAGAAGACCTCCGCCCGCTACCTTTACGCTCCATTTGCTCCCGCATTTGCTCCCGCCCGGATGCGCCAAGAGCAAGAGGCTGGGAGCGAAATAGAGAGGCCGGCCACACCGAGAGCGAGTGGCCGAGCACAGAGAAGCCGGGAATGAAAGACAGAGGCCGGGCACCCCAAGAACAAGAGTGAGTGCAGTGAGGGCCAGCTGAGGCACAGAAGGTGAATCTTTCTCGCGCCCCTCCCCCGCAGATCCCCACCCGCTACCTTTGCACCCTGCTAACTTGCGTTCCTCAGAAGACTCCCGCCCACCACCTTTGCACTCCCCTACTCAGAGCTGGTATCTTTATCTACTGCTAGGCTGGATGCGCCACAGTTGGAGCAGCTTCTAGAGGCGCATTTGGTCCTAAACTAGGACTAAATTAGAATCCATCCAATCCTTCTAAATTAGGACTGGCCACAAGCCAAGGAGATGAACCTCCCCAAAATCATAGAAGGCAAAACTGAATCCAGCAAACTGTGCTCTGCTGCACAATTACAAATAAACGATCAAACAAACAAACAAATAAATAAAATCAAAGTCCTTCCTCACAAACAGCACCAGTGCCTCCACAGCAAACAACCATGCCATCCAAAAAAACTCTCCACTGCCAAACCCCCACCCAAAAAGAAGGTGATCTGTCCGAAGCAAAGTTGTATTGCAGAACTGAACCGAAGAAGCTCCTCAGATAAGAAGCGAAACCTCTTCAAAGAAAAAGCAGAAACTCCAGTTGCCTCTTGGGAGGAAAAAAAAAGCAGCTTCGGGACATCTATTTATCGAGTTTAAACAGCACTGAAAAAAGTGACTTGTGACCAGTTTTCACACTTGCGACCGTTTCGCCCATCCCCCAGTCACAGGATCAATATTGAGCCGCTTGGCAACTGAAGTGTGTGTTTATATAGTGTTTGCAGCATCCCGGGGTCACACTCTCATCGTTTGCGACTTCCTTCCAACAAGCAATGGACAGATGGATTCGCTTAACGACCACAGGATTCACTTAACAGCAGTGGCTAAGAAGGTCGCAAAACGGGGCAAAACAATGTCTTAGCAACTGCCTTGGTTTAGCAACGGAAACGTCGGGCTCCCTTTTGTGGTCCTAAGTCGAGGACCACCAGAAGTTGTAACATTCAGATTGAACCGCCTCCGCCGAGGCGCAGGAGAGGAGACTCAAACGCGCCCTTTGAAAAAGACAAAAACCCCGAGCGGAGACTGGAGGATCGCCGGAGCCCGCTCGGGACGAGGAAAAAAAATCGCCTCAGGCGGCGGATCCCGCGCGGGAGATCCACCGGCTCCCCAGACAAACCCGGCGGGGACAGAGCTCCGCCTCCTCAGGTCGAGCCGGGCCACCAGGCCGGGCTCGAGTGAGTCAAGAGGGCGGGGAATTTCCCTAGGCCGCCCCGCCGTCGAGAGACTCCGCCTCTTCCGGTGACTCCGCAATTTCGGCCCCGCCCTTTCTTTCCGCAGTATATAAACGGCGGCGGCGGCGGCTGCCTCCATTTCCCTGCCTAGCAGGGCCGCAGAAGGTGGTTCCTTGCTTGGCTGCCTGGCGGTTAGGGGTGGGGTGGGGTGGGGTGGGGTGGGTGGGGGTGCCCAGTGTGAGCGCGGTGCTTCGCCATGGAGATGAGGAAGCGGGTGACGCTGGAGCTGCGCGGGAAGATGCCAGCCGAGGTGAGACCCCCGTGGGTGCGGGGGTCGCCTCCTCCTTCCCCCCCCACCCGCCCCACTCTTGCACACACCTGTGCCCGGCAGGTATGTGGGAGGCCTCCCCTCCTGGATTGGCGGGAGGGGGTGAGAGGGGTCTAGGCGCCGTGCAGACCCTTCACCCTGGAAGCCCCCCTCCCCTCCAGACGCCCCCTCCCCAATGGCTCCACCCGGGACCCCACCCTCCCCCCATCGTTTCCTCCCCCCACTCCCCCGCAGGAAGGGGGAGGGCTCAACGTTGGGCCTTGGGGGAGGGGAGGAGGGGCTCAGTTTCCACCCCCTCCCCCATCCCTTTTTGCAAAAGAGGCTTCCCCTTCCCCCCCCCTTTGAGAGAGAAGGGACGGCCCCAGTGATGAAATTCAGACTTTTATTCCCGGTTCTGTGGGCTTGGTGGGCGTGGCAGGGGAAGGATACTGCAAAATCCCCATTCCCTCCCCACTCCAGGGGAAGGATACTGCAAAATCCCCATTCCCTCCCCACGCCAGGGGAAGGATACTGCAAAATCTCTTTTCCCATCCCAATCTGGGACCAGGCAGAGGTGGCATTTGCCGGTTCTCTTGAACTACTCAAAATTTCCACTACTGGTTCTCCAGAACCTGCTGGATTTCACCCATGGATGGACCCTCCCCCCAAAAAAAATCCCGGTGTGTGGAGGGTGACTTAATGGGGGGGAAAGGCCGCAAGGGTTTTCTGGGGTGGGCGGAGGGGAAAGTTTGTAGGTGGAGAAAGGGGAATCAAGTCACACAAACATGCATGGTCATAAATAGGAGTCAAGCTGCTAAGCATCTGAAGTTTTGATCACGTGACCATTGGGGTGTGTGTGGTGAGACAGTCGTTAAGTGTGAAAAGAATACCTATAATCCCCCATAATTACCCCATTTTACAAACTTTCCTGCCACAGTTTTTGAGTGCATCCTTCAGTGATTAACTTAGTAACACAGTTCTTAAGTGAGTCTGACTTCCCGATTGTCAGAAGGTTGCAAAAGTGATTCCAGGACACCGCGACCATCATAAAGATGAACCCAGTTGTCATGTTCCCATCAGAGTCTGAATCTGAGACTGACAGAGCGAGAGAGTGGCTCCATTGGCTGTGGAGGAAACTGGGGAAGGGCAGAGCAGGCGAGAGGTAGAACAAGGGAGAAGGAGGTTCAGATGAAGACCAAGGCCCACCCCCTCCTCATCCTAGGGCACGCAGGGAAGAACGCAGAAGACAGCAACATGGGTTGCGTGGCTTATGGGGAAGGAAAGGGCCCTGATTCCCTTAACAAGGCACACCTGGGGATGGAGTTTAAAGGAGAGGCAATTGGGAGAGGCGTTTGTCGGGAACAAACACTGATTTAATCTAGTGTTGAGAGTTGTGCCTGCATTCCTGGCATTCTTCCTGACAGCTTCACAGGAGAAGCACAGTGGTTCTCAACCTGCCGTTGTGTCTGGGATTCTGGAAGAGAACCGCCCCATCCCTCACCTACTACTGAGAACAAGCAGCGCTGCCACTGCTGCTCTCCTGGGGTGGCAGAGCTTTGCAGGAGATGCACAGCTGTTTTCAACCTGCCGCTTGCGGCCGGGATTCTGAAGAACTGTGCGCGCATGCGCGCCACAAAACCAGGTGGCCAGCGCGCATGCACATACCGGAAACCAGAAGATCATCTTCCCAGTGCACTCATGCGCACCTGGCGGCTATTCTTTCTGTTTCTGTCGCTCCTGCATCCATGAATGGGCGATGGTTCCGTGTGCCCAGAGAGATGGCTCTGCATGCCATTTCCAGCATGTTCGCCATTATGGGTTTAGATTTACCTCATGATTCTGTGCTCCTGACGATTTTGTCTGCTTATGCATGAGGCATCTGCGCTGTGATTGGTTGCTGTGGGTATAAGGGGGGATTTCTCTTCTTTCCTGCCTTTTTCTTCTGTGTTCTGTATACTGTTTCGATTTACCTCATGATGTTCCTGACAATCTTGTCTGCTCATGCATGAGGTAATCTGAGCTGTGATTGGTTGTTGTGGATGTAAAGGGAGAGTTTCTCTCTTTTCCTGCCTTTTTCTTCTGTATTCTGTATACTGTTTCAATTTACCTCATGATGCTTCTGTGTTTCTTGACTCTTGTCTGCTGTGGATATAGATGTTAAATATAGTTAAAGGAAACTACTAGATTGTGTCAGCGTCTCTGACTGATTTTGGGACACCTGCCGCACAAAACACATTTCATGTCAGAAATGCAGGAACTGGAAAAGGTTTGGGTTTCATTTCATGAAATTAAATTTCATTTAATTTTTTTTAAAAAAAATAGAAATGTTCATAAAACGATACATTTATATAGTTCTTGCCCAATGCTGGCGGAGATATATCCGACCACCACGTCATTTTGTGCGCATATTGATCCCAGAGGGCGCACTGTAAAAGATGGAAGGTTGTGTGAATAGTGTCACATTTGTGGTAAATAGTGACACATTCACGAGTGAGCTAAAGCGAGAGGCCATAGTCATTGCTGGCTCGTCCTGACTGGATCTTAAAGAATTGGGAGAAGTGGGGCTGGAGAGATCTGCTAGGATCCCCAATTTTGCGACCTCCTTTTGCCATGGTTGTTAAGCGAATCATTGCCGTTAAGTTAAGGAGCCTGGATAGCTCTGCAGACTAAAGCACTGTAATTTAACACCAGCTGTCTGCAATTAAAGTAAGTTCGAATCTTGCCGGGCTCAAGGTTAACTCAGCCTTCCATCCTTTCTAAGGTAGGTAAATTGAGGACCCAGTTTGTGGGGGGTAATAAGCTGACTTTGTATAAATATACAAAAGTATGAAGGCTATTGCTTAACGCACTGTAAGCCGCCCTGAGTCTCCGGAGAATGGCGGTATATGAATCAAATTTAAAAAAAAAAAAGTGACTCATGTGGTGTTTAAGTGAACCTGGCTTCCCACATTGACTTTGCTTGTGGGAAGGTTGCAAATGGTGGTCCGGGGGCCCAGGGGTGCTGAAGCCATCGTAAAGGCACTTTACGCCTGTTGTGCCAAGTGCCTTAATTTTGATGGCGGGGCCATGGGGCTGCTGCCATAGCTACTCCCCTTTTTCAGTGATGCTGTAAACTTTGGTCGCTAAATGAATGATTGTTCGTCAAGGACTGCCTGTACAGCTACTGTGTTTCCCCGAAAATAAGACCTTGTCTTACATTTTTGCCACCAAAAAATGGTACCAGGTCTTATTTTCAGGGGTGGGGAATTTTGTCCACTGACGCACTTCACTTGTGTGCGTCACACACACACACACACACACGCACACACACAGCCTCTTTTTTGCTGTCAGAGGCCTTCAGGAACTTCTTGGGCTAACAAGGCTTTCCTGAAGGTTTCTGCAGCCGATAACAGAACTCTGGATCAATCCGGAGCTCTGTTATCGGCTACAGAAGCCTTCAGGAAAGCCTTGCCGGCTGCAGAAGAAACGGACCGAGGTATGCGAGGCTGCAACTGTCCGACGGTAAGTTGTAGGGCAGCTCCATCCCCACCCTAGCTTCATTTTTACTCGTGCACCCTGGAGTGGGCGGGGTCTTAATTAGGGCTTATTTTGGGGGGTAGGGCTTATATTGGGCACACGTGTAACAAGCTACTAGGGTAGGTCATAATTTTCGGGGAAACATGGTAGTCTTTAACTTACAACCACAACAGAGCCCAACTTTTCTGTTGCAAGACAGTGGTTAAGTGAGCTTTGCCCCATTTTAAGGACCTTTCTTGCCACCGTTGTTAAGTGAATCACTGCAGCTGTTAACACCGTTAACACAGTGTTAACACCGTTAAGTGAACCTGGCTTCTCCATTGCTTGTCGGAAGGTTGCAAAAAAGAGATCACGTGACCGCGGGATACCGCAACCGTCATAAATGCATGCCAGTTGCCAAGCGTCTGAATTTTGATCACGTGATCGCGGGGATGCTACAACGGTCATAAAGTGTGAAAAATGATCCTAACTCACTATTTTCAGTGCTTTTGAAGGGTCAGTAAGTATGAACTGTTGTAAAGTCGAGGACTACCTGGGCTGTCAGGTCAGTTGTGTCTCCAGTGGACCGGTGACTTCCGGGAGGTTTGAGGGACCTGCCTTGAAAGCTCTCTCCACTCACCCACCCACCCCTCATTGAGACCACATCCCCCAGAATTGAAATGTTTTAAATTATGAGCCAAACTTATTTAATTATTTTAAATCTATTTTAACTTTTGTGTACAAATGTTTTACTTTGGCTGTTCACCGCCCTGAGTCCGAAAGGAGAAGGACGGTATAGAAATCTGATTAAATAAATAAATAAATAAATCCCCTAGCTGTTTGCCAGGTGGAATTCTGGGAGCCAGAGTTTGAACATCTTTCTTTCCCAGGTGAAGGAGCTGGTGCTGGACAACTGCCGCTCGGACGATGGCAAGATCAGTGGGCTCTCCTCCGATTTTGAAAACCTGGAACACCTGAGCATGATCAACGTCGGCCTTCTCTCCATCTCTAACCTTCCCAAGCTTAACAAACTCCGGAAGGTGAGCCCCTGGGAACAGGACGGGTGGAATTGGCTGCGCAGAAATCGTGCGTGTGTGTTGAGCAGGATCTGAGTTTGGGAGGTTTCTTACTTTGCAGTGGGCTGTTCACTCTAAATCAGCCAATCTTAGTGGACTTTAAAAGATGTGGACTTCAACTCCCAGAATTCCCCAGCCAGCGCAGTCTCGAGGAGCCCGGACGAAGTTTCCGGTGCCTCTTCAGCAAGTGCTCCTTGAGACACGACAGTTTGCAGGGGGCGGATCTAGCGTCTACAATGGACAACAAAGCCAGGGTTGACTCCAGCTGCTTCTCTCTGCTAACAGGCGGCCAAGCTAACTGCCTGAAGGACCCCATCCTGTCCCTAGAAGTCAAAGCGCTGGAGCGCCAGCAGTGCAGGAAAGCTTGGTTGGGCTCCTTGAGAGAAATGCAACGATTTCTCTGCGGATCGCCGGTTGGTGACCACTGCTCCAGAGGGTGAACGCCATTGTCCAGAGGATCATGGGTTGCCCCCTCCCCTCCTTGGAAGAGCTTGATAGCTCCCGCTGCCTTAAGAAAGTTCAAAACCTTCTTAAAGATCCATCTCATCCTGGGCGCCCTTTTTTTTTTTTTTTTTATTAACTATTACCATCTGGCAGACGGTACAGGGCAATAAAAACAAGGAGAAATAAGAGGAGTAACTATATTGAACTCTATAGTGCAATATTAATGCAATATCAGGGGTTTTCAATTCAGATGTATAGAATGCGAAGGATGTTTTATTTTTATAGTTATAATGTACACTGAAGATGGCACTTCACACTTCGTTGTACGAGGTGAAATGACAATAAAGTAAACTAAATCCGGAGCTGCCGTTTGGTGTTTTTTTTTCCCCGACAGCTGGAGCTGTGCGACAATCGTATTTCGGGCGGGCTGGAAGTCCTCGTGGAAAAAACCCCGAATTTGACGCAGTTGAACCTCAGCGCGAATAAAATCAGAGAGATCAGCACGTTAGAACCTCTGGTGAGTTGCCGGTCTGGCCACATCGAGCGAGAGAGTTTGCCTGGGAAATCTGTGGAAAGATGCATGAAATGATTTGAGCTCCAAACAGGTGTGGGCAGCGCTTGGGAGTTTACAAATAGTTCTCAACTTACGACCTCAATTCAGCCCAGAATTTCTGTCGTTAAGCGAAACATTTGTTAAGTGAGTTTTTGCTCCCTTTTTAGAACCTTTCATACCCCAGTCGTTAAGTGAATCTGGTTTTCCCGTTGACTTTTGCTCGTCAGAAGGTCTCGAAAGGCTGCAGCAGCGGTCGTAAGAGTGAAAAATGGGGCCCTAAGTTTGTTCATCAGCCTTGGAACCCATATTCTACTTGGAGTGCCGCATTTAGTGCCTGGGAATTTGGGAGGGGGGATTTTACTGAGGGATAGTAAAGTAGCCATAACAACATTCTTTCTCAGAGAGTCGAGGACATGTTACTCTGCACCTGGATGGGATTTCTCTATTGAGGGTAGAAGATTTGATTGGGCCCTGAGATGAACTGATGGGTGGATCTTTGATTTCTCTTTTGGGAAGGGAAAACCTGGGACTCCCAGATTCGGGTTTTCCCAGATGTGCCAATATGCCAACTCTAATAAAATGGGACTTTGAGGCACTGCTTGTCTTGGAGTTGGAATGGTCACTGAATGAACTGTTGTAAGTCAAGGACCCCACCTGTATTGGGAGACCGTCTGGAAAGGCTTTTGTTCGGTATGCCAATAAAGGACACCCCCCCTCAGCAAATGAGATACCTCCCCCCCAAAAAAAGTCCGTATTTTGCTGAATCTGGTAACCACCTACAGCAGGAGTATCAAACTTGATTTCATTGAGGGCTGCATCAGGGTTGTGTTAGATCTCGCAAGGGGGGATGGGCGCGGGGGCAGTGGTGAAATGTAAAATTTGTTACTACCAGTTCTGTGGACGTGGCTTGGTGGGGGGGGGGGTAATGTGACTGGGTAGGTGTGGCCAACTTTTTTAATTTTTAAAAGCATTTTTTCTACAACCTTAACAGGTTGCAGAAAAAAATGCTTTTAAAAGCCTCTGACGATCCCAGCTGAGCCGCGCGATCATAGGAGGCTTTTTTTTTTTTTTTAACTTTTAAAAGCATTTTTTTGGCTGAAGAGGTTGTAGAAAAAATACTTTTAAAAGTTTAAAAAAAAAAGCCTCTGATGATTGCGCGGCTCAGCTGGGCATGGGGGGAGGGCAGGGACTTTTGCTACCGGTTCTCTGAACCACCCGTCGCCATCGCTACCGGATCAGGTGATCCAGTCCGAACTGGGAGCATTTCACCTCTGGGTGGAAGTGGCCAGCTTGTCCCTCATATTGGGGGCGACTGTAGTGGCCCAAGCCCCCTGCCAGTGAAAACAGGCTCCCGAGCTCCATTTTCAGCTGCCACAGCTTCCTGCAATCCTCTGCCAGAGAAAACAGCCCTCCCGAGCTCCGTTTTTGCTGGCATAGGCACCGCGGGCAGTTCTTCCGCTGTTTCCTGGGTGGCCCCGCAGAGCAGATCTGGATGGGGAGAAACAAGCTGAGACTCAACCCTTCCAAGACCGAGTGGCTGTGGTTCCCGGCATCCCGGTATAGTCAGCTGGTTCCATTGCTGACTATTGGGGGCAAGATCTTGGGGCTCGCAACTTGGGTGTCCTCCTGGACTCACGGCTGTCCTTGGAAGATCATATGACGGCCATGGCCAGTGGAGCTTTTTATCAGGTGCGCCTAATATGCCAGTTGCATCCCTTTCTGGACCGGGATGCCCTGCGCACGGTCACTCATGCCCTCATCACGTCTGGACTACTGTAATGCTCTCTACATGGGGCTCCCCTTGAAGAGCACTCGGAGGCTCCAACTGGTCCAGAATGCAGCCGCGGCGCGGGTGATTATGGGGGCGACACGGCGAACCCATGTAACACCTCTCTTGCGTGAGCTGCACTGGCTCCCGGTGGTCTTCCGGGTGCGATTCAAGGTGCTTGTCACCATCTTTAAAGCGCTCCATGGCATAGGACCTGGGTACTTACAAGATCGCCTTCTGCCACCGATAGCCTCCCACCAGCCAATACGCTCCCACAGAGAGGGACTCCTCGGGGTGCCGTCGGCCAAACAATGTCGACTGGCGACCCCCAGGGGGAGAGCCTTCTCTGTGGGGGCACCTGCCCTCTGGAATGAACTGCCCCCAGAGATACGGATGATCCCCGACCTACGTGCCTTTCGCCGTGCCCTCAAGATGTTATTGTTTCAACAAGCCAGGCTGGCCTAATATGAATTTTAAAGTGGGTGTATGTTAGTTTTTAATTTTGTGGGCCAAATTTTTATATATTCGTTTTTAAATTGTTTTTTTAAATTTTGTAAGTTCATATGTGTTTTAATATGGCTGTACACCGCCCTGAGTCCTTTGGGAGAAGGGCAGTATAGAAGTTCAAAAATAAGAAATAAGCAGATTCGGCCTGCGGGCTTTGAGTTTGGCACCCTTGTTCTACAGGTAGTCCTTGACTTACAATTTGTTGTTAGCAACAAAGCCCGTCAGTTTTCCGAGTGCACATATGGCCCAGGGTAGACATCTGGAGGCTGCTGTGGGCCTTGGGGGTGAGAAAGCACCAGACCTCTCCCCCCCCCTGAATCGGGCCACTTTCTCCCCTCCCCGCTGCAGAAAAAGCTGCCCCGCCTGCGGATCCTTGATCTCTTCATCTGTGAGGTGACGAAGCTGTTGAACTACCGCGAGAGCATCTTCACCCTCCTGCCTCAGCTGATCTATCTCGATGACTTCGATGCCAGCAACATATCCAACTTGGATCTGGAAGCCGACGGGCTGGACGATGAATACGATGAGAACGGAGACGGTGAGTAGTCTGGCCCAGAGGGATGGGGTTTCAATCGCACGGCTTCCGTCTTCACTTTTCTGACTTTCCCCCAACTCAGAAAAAAGTGGGTTGGGATGTGTTGTCTCCTTCGAGGCCGTAGTAAGCCTGTTTGGAGATGGATCCAGCAACCTTGATACGTTGGACGACTCTGCTGTTGTGGTTATTTGGGGCGGCAGGAAAGGTAGACTCTGGGGCCACATAAAAGACCCGCGATGGATTAACACGTGGTTCTGCGTTCTCCGCCACAGGCAAGCGTGTCCAGACCTTTTTGTAATAAGATGGTTTCCTGTGTTAAAAGTCCCTTTTTTGCCACCTTGAGGGCGAGACCAGGGCTCTACAATCTTCGCAACTTGTGGACTTCAATTCCCAGAATTCCCCGTTCGTCATGGCTGGTTGAGGAATTCTGGGAGTTGAAGTCCGCATGTCTTAAAGTTGCCAACTTTGGAGAGCCCTGCTCTACAATCCTTTACAAAATGGAAAATAGATCTGAACTGGAAGGGGCCTTGGAGGTCTACTAGTCCAGCCCCCTGCTCAAGCAGGAGACCCTTAACACCATTTCAGATAAGCGACTGTCTAGACTCTTCTTAAAAATCTCCAGTGTTGGAGCCCCCACAACTTCTGGTGACAAGCTGTTCCACTGGTTAATTGTCCTCACTCTTAGGAAGCTTCTCCTGAGTTCCAGGTTGCTTCTCTCCTTGACTGGTTTCCATCCGTTGTTTCTTGTCCTGCCTTCAGGTGCTTTGGAGAATAGGTTTGTTTGTTCATTCATTCATTCATTCAATTTATTTGCCTCCACTCTCCGAAGACCCAGGGCGGCTCACAATACACTCAAAAAATCACTATAAAAACACTTAAAAAATTAAAAACATTTTTTTTATTATTTTAATTTGATTTATATGCCGCCCTTCTCCGGAGACTCAGGGCGGCTTACAATGTGCTCAGCAATAGCCTTCATACTTTTGTATATTTATACAAAGTCAGCTTATTGCCCCCACAATCTGGGTCCTCATTTCACCTACCTTAGAAAGGATGGAAGGCTGAGTCAACCTTGAGCCTTGGCGAGATTCGAACCCTGCAGTAATTGCAGGCAGCTGGTCTTAATAACCAGCTTAATAACAGGGTGCCTTAAACCCCTGTACTACCAAGGCTCTTTTACATTAAAGACATTAAAAACTCATTCACACCATTCATGGCCGGATCTCGCCAGATCACAAGAGCGAGATCAACGGCCCCAGGCCTGCCGGAAAAGCCAGGTCTTCACCGCTTTTCGGAAGGCCAATAGGGTGGGGATGGTCCAGACCTCAGGAGGTAACTGGTTCCAGAGAGCCGGGGCAGCCACAGAGAAGGCCCTCCCTCGCGGGTCCGCCAGCCGGCATTGTTTAGTTGACAGGACCCGGAGGAGACCAACTCTGTGGGATCTTACCAGTCTCTGGGAGCTATGCGGTAGAAGGCGGTCTCGAAGATAACCTGGCCCTGAGCCATGTAGGGCTTTAAAGGTAATAACCAACACCTTGAATTGTGACCGGAGACCAATAGGGAGCGAGTGCAGCTTGCAGAGAATTGGTGAAATGTGGGTGTATCTAGGTGCACCCACGACAGCTCACGCGGCCACGTTCTGGACCAACTGTAGTCTCTGAACACTTTTAACCCCCTCTTCTTTCTGGCAGCCCCTCAAATACTAGAATACTGCTATCATATCACCCCCTAATCCTTCTTTTCTTTAGACTAGCCAAACCCCAAACCTGCAGCCATTCTTCATATGATCCCTCTCACCGTTTCTGTTTTTGAAGGAAAGGGAATGGCTTAGTGTTGCGTTCTGTGTGGCAAAAACCTGAGATTTCTAGGGGTCCTGTCTGACCTTTGACTTCCAGATTAATTGGGAGTTTAGTGCGCAGACTCCCCTCAGCCTGCGCTCCCTTCCAACGCTTATTATTCTGTTATTGTTATTCTGACTTACGGCCATTGTAACTTCGTTGAAGTCTTCGTAAGTCGAGGACTGCTTGTGAACCAGTCTCTGATGCCCAGGGGTGTCATTTCCTTGTAGAAGATGAGGAGGAAGACGAAGAATCGGATGATGAAGATGACCTGGACGGCGAAGATGACAAGAACGGGAGAGATGATGAGGTGAGTCATGATATCCCATCTTCTGCGCAATGGTCTCCATGGTGACGGGTTGGTTTGTACGCCAAGATCACCAGGCCGAGGCAACTGCCAAGACCAGTTCTTTCATCGCAACAAATCTTGTTAAAAAGAACTCTGCAAATCACAGCAAAGCTTTTTAACAAGATTTGTTGCGATGAAAGAATCTGTGGTCCAAGAAATACACCAGGTGAACCACAGATAATCCTAATTTGTCCCTGCCTCCTTCAGGATGAAGAGGATGACGGAGACGAAGATGAGGATGTAGATGGTAATATACTTCTGACTTCCATGGCTGAGAATCACGGATTGGGTGGGGAGGAGATCCTTTGGAAATCCATCTTGTGATTCACCTCCACCTACTGAACTACCAAAGCATTTTCCCACTAAGCTGAAGGTTCAAACCGAGTGGATGGGGGGGGGGGTGTTTCATAGGTTACAACCCCCCTTCCGTTCATGACAATCTTATGATTAATAAATTAAGCTAAGAATGTTTTTTAAATTTCTCTCTCTCTGCGCCATCTTCTTTTAATCGTAATTTCTTTTAATAATTTGCATCATTTCATAACACATTTTCTCACGTTTATTTCTTTTAGTCACAGATCCTATGCCTGAAACGAGTAGTGCAAGCAAGAAAAAAGTTCGTCAGTATTCGCAAGAATATTTAAAACTGGGCTTCATTCCCGCTACCCACGATGAGAGGTCACCTTTCTGCCTCTTATGCCAACAATGCTTGCCCAACGAATCCATGGAACGAGGCCGTCTTGAGGTGCATTTGAAGGCGAATCATAGCGCGTACGTAAATTCAGATTTAAATTACTTCAAGTCTTTAAAGGAGAAGTTTGAAAAAACTGTCAGCCGTACTCTTGAGGCTAGTTACGACATTTCTTTACTCATTGCTAAATCTGGAAAAAACCATACTATAGGGGAGGATTTAATTAAACCATCAATATCGGCGTTTCTTAAAACGGCCCTGGGAAAAGATGACAGAGATGTGAAAGCCATGCCACTCAGTGACCATACCGTTAGCAGAAGGATAGATGAAATGAGCGAAGATGTTGAAGCACAGCTTGTTGAAAAGCTGAAATCAAGGAAATTCTCAGTGCTAATGGATGAATCGTCTCTGAGAGACAATGAGGCCGTACTGCTAGCCTATGCAAGATATATCGATAAAGGCGAATTTGCTGAAGAAATGTTATTCTGCAAATCGTTGGAGGCCACCGCCACCGCTACGGATGTATATAATAAGCTAAAAAATTACTTAGATGTCAACAATATATCAATGGCAAACATAACGTCTTGCGCTGCAGATGGTGCTCCTGTCAGGATGGGCAAGAAAAATGGCTGCTTAAAATTGATGAAAGATGAGAATCCAGAAATGCTTCTCGTGCACTGTGTTATTCATAGAGAGAACTTGGTGTCCAAAAACATTTCTCCTGTTCTTAATGAGGTACTAAAATCAGTTATAAAATGTATCAATGCTATCAAAGCTAATGCCAAATGTGACCGTCTCTTCAAGCAGTTTTGTGAAGATAAAAACGCAGAGCCGGTGAGACTTTTCCTTCACCCTGAGGTGAGATGGTGGCTCTCGAAGGGAAACTGCCTGAAAAGATTCATGGAACTATTTGGTGTTCTTAGTCACTTTTTAAGTGACAAGCCTGAAATGAAGCACCTGCTAACAGTTGACGGTAAAGCGCTGGTGAGTTATTTAGCGGATATCTTTGAAAGACTGAATACGTTGAATAAACAACTTCAAGGAACAAATAAAACTCTTGTGGATGCAAAGGCGAAGATATTTGGCTTCATTACGTTGATAGAGTTGTGTCAAAAGCATATTTCTGACAAAAAATTTGACATGTTTCACTGGCTAAAAAAATGTGAGGTGACTCCTGCTGCTGTACGTGTCATCGTGGATCATCTGAAAAGACTGGCCTGTGATTTGAAAGAAAGGTTTTCTGATTTGAAAGAAACGGATTTTCCAGCATGGGTAGTGCAGCCGATGCTGGTGGATCTATCTGAGGTTTCAATGCAGTACCAAGAAGAACTCTCGGAAATGCAAAACGATGAGTCGCTTAAAACTTTATTCGGTGTAAAAGGAGCCATGGCGTGGCTGTGTGATGAGACGGAAGCTAAATACCCAAATTCAAGCTACTTTGCAAGAAAACTGCTGTTACCTTTCCCATCTCCATATTTCGCTGAATGTGGCTTGAATGCTGTAAATGATTTGCTACTGAGGAAAAGAAATGGAGCGGATATCACTGAACGAGGAGACTTGAGAATGAAGCTGACCAAATTGGAGCCTAATATAAAGTCTCTCTGCAGCAGGCATCAAGCACAAGCACAAGCATCTCACTAAAGCTGCAGTCCTACAACATTTTCCCGGGAGTAAGCCCCATTGAAGAGAGTGGCACTTACTTCTGAGTAGACATGCCTAGGATTGCAGTGTAAATATGGTCTTCAGGTGAGCTCAAATTGTATTTTGAATTTGTTAGGTACCTTTATTTTAATATGTATAGAAATTAATATCATCAAAGTATTACAGAAGAAGCTTCCAATTATTTTATATTTATGCATTTCAGTTCTCTATTATGTTTTGAAACTTTATTTGCTGTTTATTTGTATCCCTTCATATTATTATTTTTTAAGTTTCTCAGTACTTCTACTGTCTTTCGTTCTATTATTTTTCTCTTTCATGGATGCCATGTTCTTTGGAACCTTGTTTAAACCAAGTTAATGGCCTTTTAGGCTCCCACCCCGTGAGCAGGAGTTCACTTTTTTAAAAGTAAGAATTATATGTCACGGGAGGGAGGGGCATCAGGATTTTAGAGATGCTTAGGGGGGGCATGGCCAAAAGAAGGTTGGGAACCACTGATCTATGTCATCTTCCCCATCTCTTTTTCCTTCTTTCCCATCTTCTCCATTTTGTTCTTCTTTTCCTTCTCCTTCTTGAGCTCCATCTTCTTGATCATCTCCTTCTCCTCCATCTCCATCAATATCATCTTCTCCATCTCCTTTTCCTTCTAATTCTTTTTTATCTTCTCCGTCTTCTTGATCTTCTCAATCTCCTTCTCCAGTTTCCCTATCTACGTCCATCTCCTTTTCCTTTTTCCCCATCTCCTTCATCTCCTCCTCCTCTTCCATCTACGTCATCTTCTCCATCTCGTTTTCCTTCTCAATTTTGTTCATCATCTCCATGTTTTCCTTCTTCTCCTCCTTGATCTTCTCCAGCTTCTCCATCTACATCCATCTCCTTTTCCTTTTCCCCATCTTCTTCATCTCCTCCTCCTCCTCCATCTACGTCATCTTCTCCATCTCGTTTTCCTTCTTCTCAATTTTGTTCATCATCTCCATGTTTTCCTTCTTCTCCTTCTTGATCTTCTCCAGCTTCTCCAGCTTCTCCATCTACGTCCATCTCCTTTTCCTTTTTCCCCATCTTCCTCATCTTGTTGTCCTCCTTGATCTTCTCCATCTCTTTTGGTCTTTTCCATCTCCTCCTCCTCCTCCCATTCTCCAGCTCTTTTCCCTTTTCCGAATTTTCTCCAACTGTTACTCCCTCTCCGTCTTTTCCTTCTCCTCCATCTTCTCCTCCTCCTCCTCCTTCTTCAGAAATGGTTACGAAAGGGATCTCCACGTTTTCCTGCATGCGAGAGAATGCTTGGGAAATGCAGATCCAGAGCAATGATTTTGCAAATGTGATCTTATGTGTACAGGCAATTAACTTTAATCCGTAGTTATTAACCTTTCCCCCTGACTCTACACTTTCACTGTCGCTTGCGATATATAAATACATATACATGCAGATATGCATCCACTTATGGAGGCACCTTCTGTGCATATATTTACCATGGACGGGAAAGTGTCTGGTGTCGCTTTTAGCTGGAGGTGGCAAGTGGGAAACTTATGCAACGCTCAACATTTCTGCGCTTAACGTTTTTTTTTTAATCTACTCTTCCTTTTGCTTAGTTTTCCTCCTCCTTTTTCCCACTCCTTTTCTTTTCCTTCTTCCTTCCTCCCTTCCCCTTTTCTGTTACTTCCTTGCTTTTCTCCCTCTGTTCCTCCTTTTTTTTTCTCTCAGTCCTTCCTTTTACTCTAATTTATTTTTCCCGCATTCCTTTCCTTCTTACCATATTTTTTTTTTTTATTTGATTTATATGCCGCCCTTCTCCAGAGACTCAGGGCGGCTTACAATGCGTTAAGCAATAGCCTTCATCCTTTTGTATATTTATACAAAGTCAGCTTATTGCCCCCACAAACTGGGTCCTCATTTCACCTACCTTAGAAAGGATGGAAGGCTGAGTCAACCTTGAGCCTTGGCGAGATTCGAACCCTGCAGTAATTGCAGGCAGCTGGTCTTAATAACCAGCTTAATAACGGTGCCTTAAACCACTGTACTACCAAGGCTCTTTCTTCTTTTCCCTCCCTCCCTCCCTTCCTCTCTTTTCCTCTCCTTTTCTTTTCCTCCTTCTCCCTCCCTCTGTTCTTCCCTTCTTTTTTCTCTCAATCCTTCCTTTTACTCTTTTATTTCTTCTTCCCTCCCTCCCTTACCACTTTTCCTTCTTTCCTCCGTCTCTCCTTCCTTCCCCTCCCTCCTTCTTCTTCCTTGCTTCTTCCTCCCTTTTTTCTCTCAATCCTTCCTTTTGCTCTCTCATTTCTTTCCCTCTCCTTCCTTCTCTTACCACCTTTTTCTAGCCTGCCTTCCTTCCTCCCTCTCCCTTCCTTCCATCCCATCTTTCTTTAAAAGAACTTAGGGCCACCTGCTTAGTGCCGCTTCCTCAGAATCCTAACCTTGTAAGGTAAGTTGGGTTCAGACTGAGTGACCAGTCCAAAGCCACTCCGAAACACGGCTGACGAGGACCATAGATCCCAGATCTCCCTGGTGCCAATCCAGCACATTCGTTTTGGGAGTAGCATTTCCAAATGTCTGGCTTTGCTAAACTCGTTTAGGCTGTCTGGAGCTGCTGGGATTCAGATTACAGATTAACAGAGTTAATCAGATTAACAGAGTAGGTCATCTAGCCCAACCCCCCCGCCCAAGCAGGAGACCCTACAATTTCGGGCCAGGCTGCTCCGATGGAGGGCACCTGAAACCATCCTGGAACTTGGGCAGGTCCGGATGGAGAAAGGACATGTCAACCCTGAAGGGGAACATGGCTGAGGCCATTTTGCAGGCTTCAGGGTTGCCACAAGGAAGAAGAAGGGACAGGGAGAGGGGGGAATAGATAGCTTGGGGGGCATTGTAGTCAAAACTACTTTGCGAGACCGCCTTCTGCCACCAATAGCCTCCCACCGACCGGTTCGCTCGCACAGAGAGGGCCTCCTCAGGGTGCCGTCGGCCAGGCAGTGCCGGCTGGCGACCCCAGGGGGAGAGCCTTCTCTGTGGCAGCACCTGCCCTCTGGAATGACCTGCCCCCTGAGATACGCACGATATCAGACCTCCGGACTTTTCGTCGGGCCCTGAAAACACACTTATTCCATCTAGCTGGGCTGGCTTGATCCCATCCTCTCAGTTTTAAATTTGAATTTGGTTTTAATTGGGTTGTTTTAAACTTGGGCCAAAATTATTTGTTTTTTAAAATGTTTTTTAAATTTTATATGCTATGTTTTATCTTGGCTGTACACAGCCCTGAGTTCCGCAGGAGAAGGGTGGTATAGAAATAAAATAAAATTAAATTAAAAAAAAAAACAAGACGTTTTCCTGTGGGAACCAAGGACACTCCCAACAGGTGGCTGGGGAGGAGGAGGAGTGAAGTAACCAAGCAACCGGCCAGCTCCTCGATTGGACAATGTGACTGAGGACTTGGAGGGAGGGAGGGGGAACTTTTACTCTTGAATCAGCTGAAAGCTGCGGGAACTTTCAGAGCCGGTTTTCCCAAATTGTGCCAATATGAAGTATCCAATAAATTGTTCCTTGAGGAATCTTACCTGCCTCAGAGTTCTGCTTTCTTTGGGTGCGTTACTTGGAACGCTGACAGGATGAAGGACGGGAGTCTCAATTCCGGCCCCCGATTCTGTTGCTTTGCCCAAGAAACCAGGAGGACAAAGAACACACAACGATGTACAGTGGCCCGATTGGTACCACAAAGAATTGGCCTTTCTGGGGAAGTGGTGGCTCTCTCCATCTCTGGAGGCTGGAGTGTCAACTGTTAGGGATGGTTGGGTAGATTTCCTGCACATTTCATTTTTATATACAGTATTTATATCCTATATTTCCATATGTATATAATTCAAGGAAGTGACCACACCCAATCCTCCTTTCTCCTCTTCCCCATAGGTGAGGGGGAACCCTGCGAGGTGAGCTGGGTGGAGACAGGGTGATTGGCCCCAGGTCACCCAGTTGGCTTCCATGCCTAAGACAGAACTAGAATTCCCCATCTCTGGTGATTGGCCTAAAGTTCTCCAGTTGATTTTCGTCCCTAAACTGTGACTAGAACTCACCGTCTCCTAGTTTCTAGCCTGCTGCTTTAACCAACACACCGAATTGCAGAGGGTTGGGTTAGATGATCCCTGGGTTCCCTCTTCCGCCCACACAATTCCATGATTCTTTGATTTAAGTTAAGAAAACCATGCATCGTCCATTCATGTTGAAGTCCATGAATTTGCAAACAAAAGAAAAAGTGGAATATCAGGTGCTCTGGACAAGGAAAAGAGGGCGTGGATTGTAAAAAAAAAAAGGGAACCCCAAACGACGAGCTATTTTTTTCACTGTCCTGCAAGACCCCCATTCTTCTCTGGCACTTAAAAGCCCCTGGCAAAGAGGAAGATGCCCCTTTCTCAGCTTGGAACCAGATATTTTCCGCAACCAGACGGGGAAAGCAAACTCCAGGATGGTGAGGATGAAACCCGACTGCCTCCCTCTGGCGTCTGTGTGTCTCTACTGGTGGAATTAATGCCTGCATGGAGCCCAGAAGCTAAGAGGCCGGGGAAAAGGCATCGCCCACAAGTTCTGCTGAGCCAGAAGAAACCCTCAACTCACAGGAGCCAGAGGGAAATACAGGTAGCCCTTGACTTGTGACCACACTCAGCCCAAAGTTCCGTTGCTAAGAGAGACAGTCGTTAAGTGAGTTGCCCGTTTTAGAACCTTTCCTGCCACTGTCGTTAGGCAAATCGTTAGGTGGTTAAGTTAGCCACACCGTTGTTAAGTGAACCTGCCTTCCCCCCGTGGACTTTGCTTGTCAGAAGGTTGCAAAAGGGGCACTGTGACCCCCGTAAATAGGAGACAGTGGCCCAATAGGAGACGAGAGGGACGCTGCATCTGTGGTAAATGTGGAAAGAGGATCATAAGTCCCATTTTTCAGTGCCATTGTAACTGCGAACGGTCACTAAATGAAGTCAAGGACTTATTAGTAAACCAGTTCCAACCACTCTTCAGGAGAATAAAATGCGAGGAGATCCTTCAGTTTGGGGGTTGCCTCAATGGAGGTTTAGTGTCAAGGTCTCCAGAATCACAATCAGAATAGAGCTGGAAGGGACCCTGGAGGTCTTCTAGTCCAACCCCCTGCTCAAGCAGGAAACCCCACACCGCTTCAGACAGGTGGCTGTCCAATCTCTTCTTAAAAACTTCCATTAATGGAGCGCCCACGATTCCTGGTGGCAAACTGTTCCACTGGTGAATTGTCCTCACTGTTAGGAGGTTTCTCCTTAATCCAGGTTGCTTTCTCCTTGATTAATTTCCGTCCATTGCTGCTGCTCCTGCCTTCAGGTGCTTTGGAGAATAATTTGACCCCCACCTCCTCTTTGTGACAGCCCCTCAAATACTGGAAGACTGCCGAAGAGGTTGTAGAAAAAATGCTTTTAAATAATAAAAAAAAAGCCTCTGATGATCGCGTGGCTCAGCTGGGCATGGCAGGGAGGGCACAGGGATTTTTGCTACCAGTTCTCTGAACCACCCACCACCATCGCTACCGGATCAGGCGATTCGGTTCGAATCGGGAGCATTTCACCCCTGGTGTGGAGCCTTCTTGGAACTGTTGAAAGGACTGTGTTGTAAACTGGATGTTTTGTATTAAATACATATAGTTGTGTTAAGTCCTGCTAAAGTGCAACTAACCTTTAGATGACCCTAACTGTTAACTCCAACTGTTTTGGAGGGAAACTTTGAAGATTCATATTTGGGCGAGCTTTTTCAAGGATTACGATTGGTTAAGGCCCTGTGGGCCCAGAGTATAAATTACAGGCATTTGCCTGCGGTTTCTCAGTTCCAGTTTTGAGTCAATAAATGCTGTTGTAGCTACGCTGGTCTGCTTCTTATCTACTGATGCCCACTACACAATAATGGAGATAGATGATGTCATATCCCTCCCCCTCTGTTGAGAGAGGGCTGTTCAATTTGACACAGGTGGCCTCTTTGACCCCTCTTTCAAACCAAATGTCCAAAATGTGGATTTTGCTGTCTTCAAAAGAGTGGCCATTGTCTTTCAAATGCAGATGGACTGCTGAATGAAGTCCTGATGGGTTTGTTCTCCTAGGTTGTGCCATGCGTTTGTGAAGTGGCTGTTTTGTTTCTCCAATGTACAGATCTGCACAGGGCTGACTGCATTGTACTGCCACGTTGCTCAGTTTCTGTCTGTGTGTTTTATCCTTGGGATGGACAAGCTTCTGCTTTCGTGTATTCTTGGGTTGGAAGAGTATACATATGTTGCGTTGCTGAAGGATCGAGCTTTCGATATTCCTGCGACATACGGAATTGACAACATTGCTTTGTTTATTGTCCTTTTCATTGTCTGTTATGGAGGAGCTCCTGTAGGGTCTTTTTTGAGATTTGAGGAAGGCCCACTTGGGATAGCCACATGTTCTGAGGGCTTCCTTGATGCGTTTTTGTTCTTTTTTCTTCTTCTTTACCATCTTTGCTGGTAGGCAGGCCTTCCGTTCAGTGGTGTTCATCAGAGAATCAGATGTGGTAGCCACACTTCCATTGGAGAGACAGGAAGGGGCTTAGCAGCCCAATAAAAGGTGCTCAGCCTAAGAAAACCAGATTCCTTGTAAAGATATTTAAAATGTATTACCTGGAGCAGTGAAAGTTTGGACGAGGAGTAAGAACACAGAGTTATTGCTAACTGGTTAAGGAGAGCTGGCCATTGCATGAGGGAATCTGAGCTGTAATTGGCTGCTTGGAGACTAAAAGCAAATACAATCCTTGATTGCATAAAAAGAGGCATAGAATCAAAATTGTGTGAAGTCTTCTTAGGACTGCTTTGTAAATCCTTAGTAAGGCTACACCTGCAATACTGCATCCAGTTTTGGTCCCCACATTACAAAATAGTTAATTTATTGCCATTGCACCTCATACAACGAAATTAAATGCCATCTTTGGTGTATATTATAACTATAAAAATAAAACACAAACACACATCCTTCACATTCTATACAATTGAATTGAAAAGCCCTGATATTGCGCTAATATTGCACTATACCGTAGAATACAATATAGTTACTGCCCTGGGATAGAAGCTATTTTTCAGCCTATTTGCCCTTGTTTTTATTGTCCTGTACATCTGCCAGATGGTAATAGTTCAAAAAAAGGGTCCCCAGGATGAGATGGATCTTTAAGATGTTGAGACTTTGGAAAAAGTGCAGAGAAGAGCAACAAAGATGATTAAAGGCCCGAAGAATAAAATATATGAAAGTGTGCAGGTTTGGGTAGGTCTAACTTAATAAAAAGAAGGACTAGGGAGACATGAAGCAGTCTTCCAATATCTCAGGGGTTGCCACAAAGAAGAGGAAGTCAAGCTATTCTCCAAAGCACCTGAGGGCAGGACAAGAAGCAATGGATGGAAACTGGTCAAGGGGAGAAGCAACCTGGAACTAAGGAGAAATTTCCTGACAAGAACAATTAACCAGTGGAACAGCTTGCCACCAGAAGCTGTGGGTACTCCAACACCGGAGGCTTTTAAGAAGAGACTGGACAACAATTTGACTGGAATGGAATAGGGCAGTGATGGCTAAACTTTTTGCCGTCGCATGCCGAAAGCGGGGGGAGGGAGTGCGGCGGGGAGCTCACACGTACCCACATTCATAATTCACTGTGCCCCACCCACTGTGCATGCATGCACAACCCCCCCCACGCTTCCCCACACTTTTGGCACGGTGGGTCCGGTAGGCCTGTTTTTTGCCCTCCCCAGGCTCCAGAGGCTTTCTAGGAACCTGGGGAGGACAAAAATGGCCTCCCCTCCTGGAGGCCAGAAATGGCCCGTTTCCCGATTTCTGGTGGGCCCAAAAATCAGCTGGCTGGCATACGCATGCACACTGGAGCTGAGCTAGGGCAACACTCGCATGCCCACAGATACAGCTCTGCGTGCCACCTGTGGCATCCGTGCCATAGGTTCGCCATCACGGGAATAGGGTCTCCTGCTTGTGCAGGGGGTGGAACGAGAAGACCTCCAAGGGTCCCTTCCCAGATCTATTCTGATTGGAGTTTTCTTGTTTCCCGCCTTTTTTCCTCTCGTGTGGGCTCTCTCTGATTTGCCTCATGATGTCTTCTGCTGTTCTCGATCTACCTGACGATGCTTCCGCTTTGCCTACCTCATTTACTGCAAAAATAAAAAATTTTTTATATTTTATTGATATAAAAACATTCGTTGGGGTCAGCGTCTCTGACTCAGTTTGGACAAAGGCTCCGGTGGCTGCGCAATTCCTGGACATTTTGTTTTTTGCACCGCACAATTTTTCTCACCGGTGGGGAGGCGGGGGGTGGAGGGGAATAGGATCAGGTCTCCTTGACTCGAAACCGCTTGAGCAGGGGGTGGACTAGAAGACCTCTAAGGTCCCCTGATATTCTGTATTCTGTAAGGAGGAATGGAGAGACCAGGGGCCTGGAACGGAAGGGGCAACGTCAGGAAATTTTAAAAAATGTATGGTGGCTTTGCCCAGAAGTTAAAAAAATTCTGGATTAAAATACAAAAATGGCTAAAAGAAATTACACACA